AAACAATGACCAGAAGTAACGAAATAACTTGTATCGTCGATCCGATTTCAAAAATAGAATCTTAAAGCACTAATTCACTGTTGTGTCAACTTTCGCCAAGAAATTCGGCCATTTTAACACTAAAAAATAACTTTTTAAGAGCAAATTTTAGCCGTCCGTTCGCTAACGATTTTCACAATGGTAATTAATTAACTTATTTTGTTTACACTTTAGGCACTGAATTTAATTAGATGCATGAATTAATGATTAAATAATTAATAATGAATTAATAATTAATCAAATGATTCAACATATTACGAGTGACGCTTATTATATGAATAAATCTTTGTCCGATTTTATGTGACATTTTTGGGAAATTACCTGCGATTACCATTAATCTTTGTTGACGATAAATAACTTGGCATTACTGTTTTGTTCTTTCGATGATAATAAATGTTCGTTTTTTGAAGATCTTTGACGAGGGATTATTATAGATTTATGCCAATAATGCGGATAAGCAAAGCCTTGATTATATATTGACGGCAAATGACCGCATCTCACGATTTCTAAATAAATATCGATTAACGGTCACTAATCACCACACATTGACGTCAAAATTATGAAATAAAATTTTGTATTATAAAAGTTGTTTCATGTATGAAAGTCGCTTGTATGGTATGGTCGTTAAACATTTATCTATTGTTTCGAGTAAATATTTCTGTCATTAATAGCTGGAATACCGTCACTGGCAAGCCAGGAGATCTGGACTTTTACCACTTTTTTCACAAGAATGAGAATTTACAAAGGATGAGGAAAAAGGTTTTATGAAGTCTGCATTGTAAATAAATCAGGATCAGTAGGAGTGAAGTGAGGTTGGACAATCAAGGTATGGAATGTGGAAGTTTTATCTTTTCTTGTGAGTTCTCAGGTTATGTACTAAAAATAAACGATCTTAGCGAAAGTGTAGATATCTTTACGCTGATAGGCTAATTTTCTTGGTGGTGGTCTGGAACCTGGCCCTTTTTTCACGGCTAGGTTTTTGTTGGGATCTCTACGAATCCAATCTAAATGCCATCAACCCCTGTGCCTGAGAAAATGGTCACTCTCTCAATATAGTAAGTCCCATAGTGTTCGGATCCCATCCCCTTCACCAATACTTACTGCCTATTCTTTTGCTCTGCGTTAAAATCCAATCCTTTTATCCATCTGTCAAAAAACTAGGAATGGCCCATGATCGATCCCTATCCTGGAAACCCCAGATTTTCTTAATTCTACCACATCTGTTCTCCACCCTCCGCTAATTCCGTCATGCAAACCAATTCGTTCCAATCAGCATCCGCAAACTCTTGGGCCCTCCCTTTCGATTATGGCTGTTTGGTCTACGGTTGACTCACCAGCGAGCTAGTTAACAGTCTCTAGAAGAATTCAAGAGCTTCTACTCACGCTCTCCAAGTGTTAATGATAGCAACACCTATTGACTTGGTCATAAAAGTCCTTAATGCAAAGAGACAGCTGAAGAGAGATTGCTACCAGGACTACCCACCCGGCTTAGAGGAACATGAAGCGAATTGGTTAAGAAATGCACCCAACAGCCAGCGCCAAACTTTTCTAAACGAATGGGTAACCGACATCTGGCAAAGCAGATGGGAAAGTAGTATCAAGGGCAGGCTTACTTATGAGTTCTTTCCCATCATTAAAGAAAAAAAAAGAAGGGTTGGGTGCAACAAGATTTTTGGTCCACACAAATGCTTACCGGGCATGGAAACTTTGCAGTTTATTTGCACAAATTCAAGAGAGCTAATACCCCAAACTGTCAGTTATGCAATGTTCGTGAAGACGTACGACACAAGCTATTCTTCTGCCCAAGCTTTGTACAACTTCGTCAGGACCTGCGAAACAGTTAACAGAATATATGGCCTCCAGAATTGAAGGAACTTGTGAAAAGCGAGCAAACTTATCATGTGTTCAAACAGCTTACACAGAGCATCCTAGCGGGTAGTAAACCAAGTACCTGAAAAAAAAACTTTCTAAACCACCTGTGATTAAACTGTGATATATTTAAGTGTATAACTTTAGTACAGATAATTCCGGGCAGGTTACTTCTTTAAAAATAAGTTAACATTGTTATATAGTACCTAAAACTGTGATTGTTCTTTATTGCTTAAATTAGTATATTTACATTGTTTTGTAATTTTATATAGTTTTTATAATTTTAATTTTGTAATTTTATGTAATGATTGTATGATATTACTGTGCGAAAAGGAGTAATCAGCAAGGGAGAGACCTATTCGATTAGGTCAACTTAAGTAATACAGAGAGGAAAAATATATATACCCCTAACCTTCCTCGTGCCCCTCGTTTAGATCGAGGCATAAGGAAGGCGTTATGCTTCCATTTTCCCCCATACAAGAAAATAAGTTAGTCTAGTGGCCAAGGTCCGCCGGTATGGGGTCTCCCTTAGGTACGGCGGGGCGGTGGATGGGAAAAAAAACGAAAAAAGTCTCAAGAGAATCATGAACTTCTTTGTTCGTTTCATATTTAGCTCCCCAAAGATATCTCGTGTGTCTAATACGGTTTGCAATAGCTGTACTCCTCCTATCGCAGGCGATATTTTCTTGGCTACTTCCCCTAAAAAACAATTTCTTCCCTTCCTATAATTATAATATGCTAACATTGAAGTCTTTACACACTGGCCACACTCGTTCCCGCCCTTCTGATGTTACCACCTCATTTAGTCGCTCTTTACTCCGTTGTTACAATCTCTGGGATACAACAACATGGAACAATTACCTACCTCACCTAATCAACATGCCTCAACCCTTTCCTCCTTTTTTTACGGCGTACAATCTCATAGGATCATGTTTCTTGATCATTTTGGATTTGCCAGGCCGCGGACGGCCCACAGGGCAGGCGAACAGGCGCCCAGTCAACGGCACTCCACCCACCGGGTAATATCACCTGCATTGAACATTAATGTTTTGCTTGAAGCAGCCGATCTTTCAGAGTGATGTACACGCCACTGCTATCATCCACATGCCTCCCAGATCCTAGTGCAGACCCGAGGTTCCCCAGGAGTGGATACCACCAAAGCAAGCCCCGCCCCCGCCCGCCGGGCCGACGCAACCCGGCTATCCTCTGTGAAATTGTCTGTTGCTTGTCCTCACAGCAACTACTTATTAATTATTCCTGGCTTCAAAATTATCTTTGGTTATGGATTTTTTTCTTCTTTCGTTCCTTCCCTATCTTACACTCTCCATTCTTCCATAGGTATGCACATACGCGAGCGCGCGCGCGCGCACACACACACACACACACACACACACACTCACAAACGCCTATATGCCCATACATCTATATACATATTTAATTATATTTCTATTCATATTTTCTGTATCAAACGTGTTGTTCTCACAAAGTGAAAGAGTCTAAAGAGATAACAGGGGATCATCACCAAGAATCTCTGCTAATTGGCTTGGAATATTATGAAGTATTCGTTGTTGCTCAAAATTAAGGCAATTAGTGAAGAGGTGTTTTACTGTAACCAATTCCCTTCAGCAATCGCATACCGGCGCCGGTTCTCTGCACATAAGTTATCCATGAAAAAGTCTACTATGCCCGATTCTAAGCCTCGTCAACACAGTCTCTTCGAGCCGCGAGTTGCGCACTCAGGAGCCCCAAGGGCCAACATTAGGTTTAATATCCCTTAACTTGTTGTCCTTCACTTCTCTCCATTCCTCCTGCCACTTCTGCCATATCTTTTCTTTCAAGTGGGAAGTAAAATCTGTGTGAGGAGAGTACTTAAGTGGGATCCCATCAATAGTGGCCCGTTTTGCAGCAATATGCGCCTTTTCGTTGCCCACTATGCCACAGTGTATTATATACCTTTCCTCCTTTAAGTCCAGTCTTCTTGATTACCTCCGATCTCTCGAATTTAACATCGAAGTTGGTTAATTTTAAGTTGTTTCGGTAAGTATACTTTTTTTGTATTTTTCCTCCTTTTATTATTTTTTTTTGGGGGGGGGGGGTTTCATTAATTTTTTCTATTATATGCAAATCTTAAATTATATATTCTTTCTGACGCGAATTGCGCCAAATTTTGTACGTTTTTGTCGTTCAAGGGGACCCAATGGTCCAGAATAAATTTTTCTTCTTCTTCCTTACATGTCAGGTATGGAATAACCAGGAACGGGCAGTATATCGAGAAACATTTGAGTTTAATGTTCTTTCTGGTTGTTTAGAAATTTCATTTCGGCTAAGTATGGTTATGAGAAGAAAAAAGATGTTTTTTAAGGTAAATTACATGTTTCTTTTTGTAATTTTATGTATTGTTAGACCTGAACAAGTCAAGAGCGGAAGGAAGACGATAAGGGTTGGTCACCGCTGTCCAAATCAAGACCCATTGAGCACAGTACACTCTTCCTCTCCTCTAGCATCAATCTTCGTTTTACCTTTCTTTTATTTTTTCTTTCCCCCGTCTTTCCCGCCTTAATTTATTTCCGTCCCTCTTCACATCCCTTTTATTCCCAACCTCGAAACCTTTGAGGGAAAAAATCTTTTCTCAGATCAGCTTTAGGCACCAGGATCAAGAAAACATTCCTGGGTGTAACGACCTTAGCGATTTTTTTTTTTCACGCTCAAATTTGCAATAATGGATGGATGCAATGCCTTTCCTAGATCTTATTTTGTCCCTATGTAATAATAATAATTTGTGAGAATTTTAGTAGAAAGACGAGTATGTTTTTCTACCACGAAATTGAAACAAGGGCATTGCATAAAAATAGCGCTAAATTTACAGCTTGTATATATATATATTTAACAAGGGTTCGCAACAGCAGAGGTCATATAAACGTAGGGCCGCTGGATTCGAACCCGGGACCTTTACCTTAAAGTGAGGAGCGCCGTGTCAAAGCCTAAACCGTTGCGGCCATCGACGCCCCTGTAACTGCTTATTATTTACATTATCAAGTACAGATTAAAAGGAATTAAATAAAAAATAACTTATTATAAAAATATATTATTTTTAAACTAAAACAATTTCAATCGACTTGCAGATACAAACATAATAATATAATTGTCCAAAAACTAAGACTAGACGAACACAGATTAACTCATTGACAATACAAGCACAGAACCACATAAAACTATAATTAAAAACATGTATATACAATTACTTACAAGTGTAAAATCGGGGTTTTGATCACAGGTTTGACGGTCAAACGCACATTTTGGACGTAAGTTAAAACGATTCATTTCACTTTACGTTTATTTTAATAAATGAATACAAATTTAAAGTACTTTTCACTTTTTATACATTGTCGTATTATTTTAAAATAAGTTCGTTAATTTTTCGTTATATTTTGTGACCAAATATATTATGCAGGAGCCAGTGATCATTCCGATGTTCTGCAGACAGAAGAAAACAAGCGTGTCATTCCGGCCCTTCTTGAGCTTCATTTTCTGCATCTCTTTTAGTTCCGGTATCTGTGAAAATGTACAATCCGTTAACAACGGTTCATCGAGAAACAGAATTATGCGATTATCTGATGAAAATCGGTCCGCCTATTTTCGCTTTATCCCGTCAAACTCATATCGCCTGACAGACTTCCGCTAAAGATAGCGATAACGCAGAATAGGGCACAAAAGGGAGAATAGGCGAACCAACCTAACATTTTAGATATGTCCCCGTATCTGTCACATTATACAACATTATTTTAAGATAATTATATAATTACATTCGTTAGATTTCGTGATCTGATTGACCAAATAACATCTTTCAATTAATTGATCTTTATGTAAGGTATTGGTTGAGATAAAAATGGCCATTTCATTTGTCGCCAACAATGAAATAGATTACACGACAATTGAAAAGGAGCAAAAAGGAGGGAAAATTAGAAAGTTAGGTTGAGATGACAAGTTGGTTTCGAGTGGATCGACATCGCGATAGTTTAAGTGGTAGAGCAGCGGCGTATTTAGCCGAAGGTCGTAGGTTCGAATCCCGCTCGTGACATTGACTATTTTATCTCAACGAATACCTTTCATAAATATTAATTAATTGAAAAATTTATTTAGAAATCGTTAGATGCGGTCTGGTGTGATGTAGGTTAAAAAAAAAAACATTTTCTTTATCGTGCCAACGTTTCCATCTTTATTGAGATCATCTTCAAGGCCTGGGGTTAACAAACAATGTTTACATATAATAATTACATTTTGGATGTGGAAAAATGAATTTATACAATGCAAAATATATTTTTTATATATTCAATCAAATATATTTTATATATTCTACTCACTCAAAGGGTTTATCTTCTGTGTAATTGTGCCATTCTTGCGTGTCTTGTCGAGAGTGCCAGTGAGATTTTGCTATTTTGTGTATATATACGTTGGATTTTGAATATTTCACTTTTCCACATCCAAAATGTAATTGTTATATGTAAACAATGTTTGTAAATCCCAGGCCCTGAAGATGATCTCAATAAAGATCGAAACGTTGGCACGACAAAGAAAAGGTTTTCTTAAACCTACAACACACCAGACCGCATCTCACGATTTCTAAATAAATATCGATTAATGGTCGCTAATCGCCACACATAATTGAAAAATGTTAATTGGTCAATCGGACCACGAACTGCAATGAATTTAGTTTACAATATTATAAAACTTGAAAAAGTTCTTCTGTTTTCTGGTCGAAATATAATGGATTTAATAAGTAAAACGAAGTATATCTTCACTAAGAGCTCTCCGCAGCCATTTCATTTGTCGCCGAGAATCAAATCCTGATTCACGACATTTGAAAAACGGCTAAAAGGAAGAAAAATTCGAAGGTAAGTTCAGATAGGGAGAGTTGGTGACCGAGTGACGATAGCTCAAGTATTCTAAGTATAAGCAAATACAGAAAAATTGCTCAAATTCTTTTGTTCACTCAACAATATCATATTTTTATGTTCTTAATATATTGCCAATACTAAAAAAATTAATACAGGCGGAATTTTTTAACAATAATTTCATAATTTGATCAAAACCGATCGTTATTGTCTCTGTAACTTTGCTGGATTAGACTATCATTCAGATCTAGTCGCAATTAAACCCTGCAAACAGCAATCATAGTAATATTTATCAAAAAATTAAAGAAATTACAAAATATTTAATATTTACTCCAAAGATTCTAAAATCCCCGTTAGAAAAATCCTCTAGACATGACCTCATTACTTCCAATTGTTCGTAAACCGTAACATATGTAATCCAATCTTACGTACGAGTCATTTTCCTTCCCTATGAAAGTCTTTAGTCTTTTTCATTACCACCCAACATTCCTGTAATGCACAAAATATAGCGAAAACCTCATATTACAATCTTTAATGCCCAGCCTAAATTCACGTAATATCATTTCTTCTTCTTTCTTCATAATGCTTCCTCCCCACTAATAGACTGCTGCTTACTGATGTGTACAGGAAATTTTTATAGATGGGCTTCTCACAAGGGGGTATTCTTGGCCCCTTTTATACTGCTGACTTACTTATACATCCAATCCAGTCATTACCCCCTACCTACGGCAATTTTTGTATTCTAACTCGAATCTTAACCGAAAAACGTATAACATCCCACAACACCTTGAGCTTATCGAAAGATGATGCTGGAGAAAATGCAAGTACATTTACATTGAACAAAACTGTCTTGCCTTTTTGGGTACATCTACAACAAGCGACATGAACTTACGTAACAAACTCGGAATAATGACAGCAGAAATACGTGAAATCTCAACGCTAGAGATATAACATGAGACTGCCAAGCAAAGCATTAATCATAAAAATCATAAAACTTTATACAAAACGTGAGTTAGTGGTGTGGTGTTCCACCAATCCTACCAATGTCTATCAAATCAAAAGTCCTCAAACGAATCGTCAAAGCTCTTACTACGTCGCTAACTGCACTTTCCACAACGACAAGAACATGTGATGAATGAATTAATCGGTTCTCACATCTTAAAGCATCTCAATTTTCTGCTTTAATCCTTCATATTGAGTGTCAGCTGGATTTCTCGGAATTGTCCCAAACTCAGAGTGCAGTGCTGGTGAAAGTGTTAATGTCGTAACCGGATGAAAATATCAATACAAATACATTTGTAATAAATACAATAGGTACAGAGTAAGAACAAATAGATTTTTCAAACTTAAGAGCATGAGTGTTTTTTTAAATTCGTAATTGCTCAAAGCTATCGTTGTCGGGACGCTCGTTGTGTATGCCAAAATTTGCTGGGGCGCCTTCTTGTTCTTTCCTGAAAAATTTTGCTAAAAAATTATTGAAAAACAATGCTATTTACCAAATGAGTCAGAGAGACATATAAGAACACGCCTCCTGCGAATGCGAATATATAATGAGCTTCTTCCAGCTCGCCCAAAACAATTCCAAGCACGAGGCCGACGAAGGCTGTACACGCAGAAAGGAAATTGAAAATTATCGCTTTCGAGAAGGACATGCCCGCTTTCAGCAAAATGGCGAAATCACCTGGAACAAAAGCAGAAACAGATGAAATAAAAGAGGGGTGTCATTTGCATAATCTTATCGTAAAATCCGGCAACCATGGCCTGGAAAATGGGTGAAATGAGAGAAAAGTGAAATGCATGTTGTGTATTTACCGCCCTTTCATTCAAAACCCGTTCAAACACACCTACAACAAGTTTACTTTTTTTAAACAAATAAGCTCCGGACTACTTAAGTAATATTCCCCTCCCAACTGAGGACAGGGAGCAGTACCTCGGACTGTACATCGTCAAATGCCTGACCTACAATTCTCACACACGACTTTAAGACACGATACAGAGCTATTCCATGATTTCTTGGCCTACCTAGATTTACCTCTCACCAATAAAAGGCCGCTTTACAACACCTTAGATAAGCCGATATTGACTTACGTACTGGAAGTGTGGGGCTCATCCAAACATTACAGCATCCGCCGCATTCAAACTGCCCAATTTTTAGTAGTACGAAAAATACCAGATGCTCTATTTTATGTATCCAACGTTTCGTTCAAGATGAAATCCGTTTTCGTTACCGACCGAAAGTTTCACAAAACCCTCGCTTTATGCGGATGACATAGGTGTCTACTGTTCATCCTGGAGGCCTAAGACAATTGTGAAAAATTAAATGACAGCGTCACCAGGATTTGCAGGTTTTGTCACCGCTGGAAACTCAGGATTAATGCCAAAGCTGTTAGGCCGTTATTAGCCTGATATTTAGCCGAAAGTCGTGGGTTCGAATCCCGCCTCACACAAATTTTTCATTTAAAAAAAATTGTGTGTAATTAACTGAGTATTTATATAATTAAGTAGAAGCAGACAAAATAATTAAAAAATTAGTAATAACGGCAATGTAAATAATATTGGGAAAATTACAATTCTACTACCGTCGTATGTGTACAGGCAGTCCCCTATACATGAATTATTTCCCATAATATGCAATATCATATGTTCGTCAATACGGTCGTCCATATTTGTTCGTTACATTCAAATGTAATCTGACATTTGATTGTAAGATCAAAGAACTTCTATTGCCCGGCCAAACGTCACAAGATCGTCGTGACATTACTGCAAGGTTTCAAGCAGAAATTGAAATCATCGATGAACGTCATGTGTTCGGAGAAACTAGTCGTAGTATACACTTGATTTAGTTGATGAGTAAAATGACACCCGATGAGATGATAACGTAATTTCAACAAAAATTCCTGATTCTACCGTCATTTCTAAAATTATTTGCAATTTTTACACAAAAAAATGATTCCTGGTCGAAGTGGTGTTCACTAGTTTAACTCACTATGTACGAATGATATAAAATACAAAAAACGTTATACAAGAGCTTTTCTTCTATAAAATATTGAATTGATGGCAATGATGTTGTCCAAACTATCGCCATCGATCAATCGATGAAAATTGTACATCGATAATTTTAAATGTTGATAAACCAAGATATTGAAGTTGATAATCGTTTGGTTTTTCCATATTTACTACAGTGATCTAAAACCTTGAAAGCGTTTATCAATGTTAAATACTTCGTAAATCATATGTGATATATGTATATTTGTATATGTATATTCGTAAATCATCAGATACAATTGGAAATGTTTCAGCAAAGTGATATGGCTGTTTGTGGTGTATAGAGTGAAAATAGCTCTATTGATGAAATCAAACAACATGGACGATATATTAGTAGCAATTAAGCAGTTTGACGTATTGTATCCTTTCCAGTTCATGAAAGACACCCAACAGTTTCTCATTTGTCAGTTTATCTCGAAAACGAGCAACAAGTATATATCATACCAAAAAATGTAATTGAAAGAGCAGCAGCAACACCAACAAAAACATCGACTGAATTTTTCATTAAGCCTAATACAATTTATCAAAACATAAAGATTTACAAATTTTATTTTCAATACTAGCTTTGGAAAGATTATATACGATACATCCAAATCAGGCAGAATGTTAATATTTGTTTTTAGCATTGTTGAACGTTCGTGGGCCAAAATTTAAGAACTTTTAAGAACACCAAGAGGTACAAAGTACTGATACCAGAACGGGAAGAATGGGCCAAGGGAACACAACTTTGGGAACGGGAAGACAAATTCCTACTGGTATACTGACGGATCCAAAACCGATAAGGGTACGGGAGCTGGGGTCTTTGGGACGAACCCCAAGACCGAAATGATGGTAAACCTAGGCAAGTATGCTACAGATTTCCAGTCTGAAATCATAGTGATTGAACAATGTGCCAGAGGAATAAAAAGGCTAGGAATACATTCCCGGAAGATAGCCATTTTCTCTGAAAACCAGGCAGCTATCAGGGCCTTAGCCTGATGCGAGACGAAGGCAAAGAGTGTCAGTGGCAAAGACGGAAGTCAGCGACACTAATGACCTGACCCTGGCATGGGTATCTGGACATTCGGGGCATAGAGGCAATGAAAAGTTCGACCTTTGGCCAAAAAGGTAGCCAACATTGACTGTATGGGCCCAGAACCCTACTGCAGCCTAGCAGCCTGCCACAAAAGAGGATACATCTTAAAATGGATCCTTAATGTGTCCAAAACCTGATGGAACAATTCCACGGGTATGAGATACGCGAAGAGATTCGTAGAAGGACCATCCGCAAAACTTACAAAAGAATTACTGGAAGGCAACCTCAACCGAACAGGATTCTGATTGGACTCCTGACAGGGCAATACCACTTAATATTTTCTTTGGTGATTGATCAGCCTTCTCAGTTTAAATATATTTTTTCTTTCCAAAAGGTAAATTGGGGATAAGGCGAGGAAAAATTTAACAATGTGCCAGAAAAATAAAAAGGCTAGGAATACATGCCCGGAAGATAGCCATTTTCTCTGACAGCCAAGCTGCTCTCAGGGTCGTAGCCTGATGCGAGGCGAAGGCAAAGAGTGTCAGTGGCAAAGACGGAAGTTAGCGACACTAATGATCTGACCTTGGCATGGGTCCCTGGACATTCGAGGCATAGAGGCAACGAATTTATTTTTTTCATTAAATTTTATTTCCTGGCCTCATCCCCAATCTATCTTTTGGAAAGAAAAAAATATACTACCACTTAAGAAAGCACATGCACCGGATAGGAGTACAGACAGAAGACCGTGCAGATACTGCTAGGAAGAGGAGGAGACTGCAGAACACATTTTATGTTTCCTTGAAGGTCTATGTAGGTGCAGATTCTTGCAACTAGGACAATAAAACCCACATGCAAGATCCTATACCAAGGAACCACTAGCAACGCTGTGGACGCTGGTTAATAGCCTGAAGCTGGCTAGTGAGTTACAAATAACAGAAGAGCACAATAGATATATTCAGGTCCATGTATTCCAAAATTTAACAGTTGATCGTTAGTGCACAACATATCAAGCATGGTAAAATATTTAGTTTATTCGAAAACTATGCACAATGGGATAGTTCACTTATCGAGGCGACAATTTCTGTTCGTCCAAATCAAATGCGAGCTTTATTGGCAATCACATCGTCTACATACGCACCATCAATTCCAAATGAATTATGAAAAAAATATGAAGATATTATGAATGAAGACATTCAGCATCGAATTCGTATAAGAAGTTTAAAACACGATATGTAATTCACATCAGAAATGTATAATGAAGGGTTTGGATTGAACAAGTGTTTGGTAATCATTAATGTCCTTGTCACAACTGAGACAGACATCACCTATTCGAATAGCTAATAACTTATTTTATACTGAATTACTACGCGCAAAAACTATAAAATCAATGCTAGATGAATACATTTTTCATACATTATACAATAAGAATCAAAATCATTATACTTATACGCTTGGTCCATGAGCCATCAGTTGATTAATCACATATTCAATAGTTACTGTATGAATAACAAATGATAAAAGCGATGAAGGTATTTCTTTATAATGGAAAGATCAAAAGCTTAGATGGCGGCCACACATTGCCGTCGAGGTGATGCCAAGGAAATTTTACTCTGAGAATTTCCTGTCCGAGGAGACTTAATTAAAATAAATCAAATTAAAACAATATTTTCGAAAGGAAACACAAAACAATAAACATTGCGGTCTCTCATGAAAACAACAACAACACTGATCCAGCTTAATAGTTTAGGATAAGTGAATGAGACAGATCTGGGTCAGGGAAAGCAGCAGCCATGCGCCCCCAGTTGTCGAGGTGGTGAATTAGCAGAGTTCTCCGCCTAGAAATTATACAACCAAGGATTTACATTACAGATCTGTTTTGGTCGGTATACTCGTACTGCCGAACAACTATTATGGAGGATTTGTCTTACTAACGTATATATTATAAAGTTTTGAATAAACGGGCCGACCTGACAGGACCACGATAAAATTCAAAAAATTTGACAAAAAAAATTGGTAGGATTAGATTTAAAAAAAATAAAGTCTATTAAGTCAAGAGAAGATTTAATTATAATTAAAAACCTGTCCAGACAAAGACAACTCAGAATGAACATTAATGTGTGGTGGTTAGTGACCGTTAATCGATAATTATTCAGAAATCGTGAGATGCGGTCTGGTGTGATGTAGGTATCAGAAAAACATTTTCTTAATCGTGCCAACGTTTCGATCTTTATTGAGATCATCTTCAGGGCTCAAAGTGTTTGTCTTCTGTGTAATTGTGCCATTCTTGCGTGTCGTGTTGAGAGTGCCATGTTGGATTTTGAGGGGGTGGGGAAGGAAGTCGGTATAGAAAAGATGATCTCAATAAAGATCGAAACGTTGGCACGATAAAGAAAATGTTTTTCTGATACCTCCATCACACCAGACCTCATCTCACGATTTTTGAATAATTAATATTAATTCAACCGCTGCCTGGATATTCTCTGAAGTAAATTACCAGACATGAAGCGGCTGAAAAACGTCGGCCATTAAGCCATTGTGTCATCAAAAAATAAATAGTTAATAAACATATAAAAAAAGAAATCGAAACAGGCCACAATTAATAAACATAAATAATAAACTAA